AGCACTTGGTGTCTCTCCAAGGCTTACTCAGAAGAGCCAGCGGGCCGGGCAAGGAAGCATGGGAGGAACGAGGCTTGGTTGGTTGGCAGAGGCTCCTCTTAAAGGGGCCCATCCCATCCCACTGCTGGGGGGCCAGGACCCGCCCCGCTGGGGCTTACACGCTGCAAAGCAAGGGCAGGGTCGGCAGGGGGCTAGCTGAGCCGCAGGAGGGCCTTCTGCCATCACAGGCTGCAACCCAAGCAGGGCCCAGTGGCAACAGGGCCTAGGGAGCAGCCGCTCTCCGAACACGAGCCAGGGGCAGCCTCAGGCACCCTCCCAGAAGCAGCCGTGGGCCCAGGTCACCGCACCCGGCCTGCAGAGATACCTTCTGCCCAGCCCCATGCCAAGCAAGATGTATGCCCGCTTCCCCCGGCCAGGCCCCACAGAGACCAGGCAAGGCGAGGAGGGCGGTGTGGGGCAGCCCTACCACCCTCCCTCTCCACCCGCAGGGCCCAGGGCAAGGAAGGGAAACCCCTCCCCAACCTTCCCAGTCGTCTCTAGCACAGCCGGACGATCCGACCCTTCGGTGGCTAACGGGAGGGGAGCATGGGGGTGAGACCCACCAGCTGCTCCTGCTCAGAACGACCTCCCTCCGCCGTGACCGCCAGCGCCAGCTGGCCAGAGGCCAGCGTAACCATGCCAACCCTGGCGGGGGGTCCGTGGGCCGAGCCCGCAGCCAGCTGCACCGCCGGCTGGCGAGAGAACAGGAAAGGAGACCACGGCGCGCTCCTCCCCCAACACAAAACTGTTAATTTATTATGATTAGGCGGCCAAAATAATTGTACAGTTACAAGACTCATTCCCCACCAGAGAAGGTCAATAGGAGCCAAAAAATCTCTCCTGCCAAAGGAATAGTGACACCACTTTCCAAGTCATTCAGTAACCCCTGGGGATGGCGAGAGAACAGGAAAGGAGACCACGGCGCGCTCCTCCCCCAACACAAAACTGTTAATTTATTATGATTAGGCGGCCAAAATAATTGTACAGTTACAAGACTCATTCCCCACCAGAGAAGGTCAATAGGAGCCAAAAAATCTCTCCTGCCAAAGGAATAGTGACACCACTTTCCAAGTCATTCAGTAACCCCTGGGGATGGCTCCTTGTGCAATTCTGCGACCACGGCGCGCTCCTCCCCCAACACAAAACTGTTAATTTATTATGATTAGGCGGCCAAAATAATTGTACAGTTACAAGACTCATTCCCCACCAGAGAAGGTCAATAGGAGCCAAAAAATCTCTCCTGCCAAAGGAATAGTGACACCACTTTCCAAGTCATTCAGTAACCCCTGGGGATGGCTCCTTGTGCAATTCTGCGAGAACGACGGTCCTGTCCCTTCGCCCCCAGCCTGCTCCGGGAGAGCTGGCTCCAACACAGGATAGAAGTCAACGGGGCTGGAGCAAAGAGGCGCTCCCGTCCCTCCTGCCAGCCCCGGCCTGCCGCTGCTGGGGGACCAGGGCTGTACAGAGGGCAAGGAAGTCCTGCTGTTCCGGGAGCCAGGCTTTCCTCTGACCCCTGCGCACTGGGGGAAGCCAGCGCCCCTCGGCACGCCATGCCTGCGCCCCTCTGGGGCTGTGACGGAAGTGGGGCAGCAGGCCAGTGTGTGCTAGTGGGCAGGAGGCCCGAGGATCGGAACACAGCCAGGCCGGCTGCAGGGCAAAGCAATGGGGTATCTTCCAAGGCAGTCCTGGGACCCCACGACCCCGAGCAGCCCTGCTGTGCTGAGACTGTGGGCAGACACATGCCCCTTCTGCCACCCCTGTCCCAGAGCTTCCCCAGAACCGGGCACACAGGGCAATCCCCCCTTGCTCCCAGACTGGGCAGGACGGGGCAGGTGTCTACAGCTCCTGGACTCACAAGGGGGATGGGGTCTCTGGTTGCCACACACAAGCTAAGGGGGGATCCCCTCGGCAGGGCCCAATTCCCCTGACCCCATGGAGATGGATGAGGCTGGAAGAGGTTTCCCATCTCTGACCCCAAGGTGGGGAGGGGATCCCTGCCTGCAGACTCTGGGTCACAGGGAGAGGGGAGGCCCTTCCTCAGAGCTTTGCTCTCAGCTTCACCTCCACAGCGCTGACCGCGCCCCGGGCGGAGGGGCTGGCCCCATGGCTGAGCCAACCACACAGGCCACGAGAGAGCAGGGCGGCATGGGCGGCACACCGGCCCCTGTGCAGGCCTGACTCCCTCGCCGGGCTGCAGGTACCAGCTCAGCCGCATCCCCATGCTCGGCTGCCCCGCGGTCCTGCCTTCCTGCGTGGCGTGGGCCTCGCGAGGGGCCAGGACTTCGGGGCCTGGGTCGCAGGAAGGGAGCTGCCCCCCAGCCAGCCCGAGTGTGGGATCGAAAGGCTGCGTGCCCAGGGAGGGGGAGGAGGCCAAGAGGCGAGGGGAGGCAGGGCACAGCGCCGACTCTCCACAGCCTGGCCAAGGCTGAAGAGCACAACCGCCCCCCTCTCCTCGCCACGTCTCCCTCTCCCCCAGGGCGGTGTCCATGTGCCGCATGGAGAAGGCTCCGCTCCGCCGGCAGTGGCCGTTTCAGAGGCTTGCGGGGGAGTCCAAAGGCCCCAGGCTTGGAGGAATGCCCCCTCCGGAGCCTGCCAGCAGCACGGCATGGCCCCGCCCTCCCACCCCTGCCTTTGGGGCTCACCCCCCAGCCCTGCTACGGCCACAGGGCCCAGTCTGGTAACAGCATAATTGCTTAAATTAAAATATATATACATATATATACTGTGTACACACCGACCACAACAGAACAGTGCCAAACGGGGGGACAGGAGTCCAACAGCTTCTTTACAATAAAAACAGGAGCTCCGCCTTAGCAGGAGCAGAGCCTGGAGTCCCCTAAAATACCCATCTAGAGAGAGAGATGGAGAGAGAGGGACAGAGCAGGGGACAGAGAGAAGGGGGCGTGGGCTTGGACAATGGCATCTTCCCGCTCCGAGGCGCGGTCCCCGGGCTCTCAGCTTCGCCTGGACTTTGAGTGCTGAATAAGCCACTGTAGGGTGATGTCTGCAAAGGCAACGCACAGAGTTACCGCCCGCAAAGGGCGGGGGGCCCCCTCCTTCCCCTCCGGGGTGGGGCTCCCCTGGGGCTGGCGGCCTGGCAAGCCCCCTGCTCTCGCCTGCATTCCCACTGGTGCTCTGTGGCAGCGTCCCCCCGCCCTGGGGCCCTGGCGGCTCCCCCAGCTCCGTGGGTGGGGAGGGTAGGCACCAAGAGATGAGACATGACACTTCTGCCCCATTTTGCCCCCTCCTGAGGAGCCAAATGCCAAGGGCTGAGCTCACCCCCCGAGGCGGAAACGGCCGGGGTTCCCCAGCCCAGCCCGGCTGCGGCCTGCCACTCACCGATGTTGTCCTTTTCTTTGCAGGAGATGGAATAGCAACAAATCTCTCGGTCCTGGATGGCAGACAGGTTCCTGCGGGGGAGAGGGCGCCGTGAGCGCACGCGGCTCAGTGCAGACTCTGGCTGCTCCCATCGGAGCAGGTCCAAGGCCCCGAAGGAGCAATCCCTTTTGTTAGGGGCCCCCGTCCACCCTCACAGGCCCCCGCTACGGGGCCAGATGCTGGCTCAGATGGGTCTTGTCAACAGGCTTGCAGCAAAGAAAAGCTTCCTGACAAATGGACCCAAGCCCCGAACATGAGCCCACAGGGCGGGCTGCCTGTTCCCCAGCCGCCATTACAGCTTGTCCCACACGCACACAGAAGCCAAGGCCTGGGGTCCAACCCGCGGGCACCAGGCCAGGCTCCCCCCGGCAAGTGGGCAAGTGCCCCCCCGCTATTGAATGCGTCAGACCCTCCCAAACCGGCATCACTACAACAGCAGCGGGTGCGGGGCCTGGCTCCAGCCCTGCCGAGAGCGCTTCTGCCGTCTGTAAGGAGCTGCGCTGCGGTGCCGTGAGCCAGCGCGGGCGGCGGGAAGCCTGGGGAATCGCTCTCCTACCACCGGGCGACCGGGCCCAGGCTCCTGCCAGCTGCAGGAGTTCCAGGGCACTGCCTCAGCGCAGTTCTCCCCGGCTCGTACTGCCACCAGGTCCCTACTTCCCCGCCCCACAAAGACCCGGATTTGCAGGCTTTGCGCCCAGGCCAGCTGCCCTGGCCGGGGGCAGAGCCAGGCTGTGCTATACCTGGGGCTGGAACCTGCCCCTTCTGCAACGAGAATGCAGGCAAAGCCTGCACGAGCGCCCACCACCATGCCCGGCCCCGAGTCCCGGCACAGGAACACGGGGAGGGCTTTGCCGGGGCCCTGCCCACGCCAGGCTCCGCCCCGGGGGCCGGCCGCCCAGGCAGACAAACCCTGGGCCAGGCAGCCCAGCAGCAAGAGACAAGCTGCAGCACTGGTGCCACCATGTGGTCAAGGCCCAGAAAAGCTCAAGCTGAAGGAGAGCTCTGCCCTGCCACAGCAACTTTCAGCCAGGGACCCCTCGGCACCGCGGGCTGAGTGAGGCTGCCGCTGGACACCTAGCGCCCGTGTGGCAGAGCTGGGGCCGAACCGGGCCCTGGGCTCCCCTTTCCCACCGCTGGCTCTGGGTAAATGTGGCACTGCCACAGTTTTCAGCAGAGACAAGTTTACACGCACGCCGGGGGAGTGGGAGGGGGCGGTGCTCACAGGGAGCTGGATTTTAAGCTGGCTTCCGGTGAGCACTGGCTCCTGCCTCCTCTCCCTCCCCCCGTGCGGGGGGAGGCGGCCGCTCCGCAGGAACCAGCATGAGCAGGGAGCCATCTCGAAAGCCGGCTCCCTGCGCAGACCAGCTCCCCCTCCACTGCCTCTGATCAGAGGCAGCAGCTGGGGAGGAGCATGTCACCGTGGGGATTAACCCAAGGAGCCCAGGCTCAGGTAACTGTGTACACGGGTAGACGCTCACATCCCTAGCCAACGCCCCGCCAGCCCAGTGCCTGGGTCCGCACACCTGCCGCCACACAGCTCTGCTGGTGTTCTGGGACGGCTTCTCCGAAGCACCGTGTGAGCAAACTGGGCTCCAGTTCCCCCCCAGTCCCAGCCGCTTGGGAAGAGGAGAAAGCAGCTCCAGCTGGGAGCCGTACTTACATCATCTCAATGAGGTCCTTCTCATCCAAGGCGCCCGCCAGATCCCGCTTGTTCCCGAGCACTAGAACCTGTCGGGGGAACACCATGTTCAAATTCTCGGTGCCAGGCCCGCCCCAAGCCCGCTGGACTGAACGTGACTAGGCCGTGCGGCTGTCCCCCAAACACGCTGGAAGCTGGGAATCAGCCGGATATTAGCTCCCAGAGACACCAGCCAGGAGAGTAACCAACAGCCGGGCAGCTGTCAGCGGCCATCGCCCAGCAAGGAAATGACGCACCTGGAACTCAGCAATGCCCCAGACATGTCCGGACTTGTGCTCCCCAAGCAGGGTATAAAAACCAAACCCAAGGCCCATGCTTGGCCTCTCCTCTCCTGAGTTTCAAGGCTGAAATCTGCGTCCTATGAACGGCAATGCCCCGGGGGTGAGAAGGGCACGCCTTCCAAGGATACACTTCCTTCAGAGCAGTGACAAAACAGTTTGGGACAAGATTTTCTGCTTCCTTCGGAGAACCCTACGAAGCTGATGCCAGAGAAGGGCTGAGTTGGGGGTTGGTCAGAGCCTGGTTAATTGCAAAGCTAACCCCACCCTTTCTGTTTTGCTAACTCGCAAGAACATAAGCACGGCCAGACTGGGTCAGAGCAAAGGTCCATCTCGCCCAGTGTCCTGTCTGCGGACAGTGGCCAATACCAGGTGCCCCAGAGGGAGTGAACAGAACAAGTAATCCTCACGTGATCCCTCCCCTGTCATCCATTTCCAGACAGAGGCTAGCGACACCATCCGTACCCATCCTGGCTAATGGCCACTGATGGACCTAACCTCCATGAATTTATCCTGTTAGAGTCCTGGTCTTCACAACATCCTCTAGCGAGGAGTTCCACAGGTTGACTGTGGGTTGTGTGAAGAAAAGCTTCCTTTGTTTGTTTTAAACCTGCTGCCTATTCATGGCATTTGGTGACCCTTAACTCAAGTGCTTTTTCTTCCTAAATGAATGTTCTTGAAAGGCAGCGGGCACTCAAGGCCCTGAGAAGTGGCTCCAAGGGCTACATACAGCAGCAGGCACTTGATTTGGTTTAAACGCAACTCAGGATTGGCAGACGGCTCCGAACTCGCACAGACCCGCCGAGCAGCCCAGTCTGCCGCGGGGAAGGTGGGTTTGGGGATGAGATCCTGCGCTTTGCGTGCTGCCTGGAGCCGCACCCCTGCTGCATTTCTGAAGCACCAGTCCCCGTATCCGGAGGAACTTACAACTCAGACCTTGTGCCCTGCCCCCGCGCCCTGCTGGCCAGCCAAAACCCTCCCTGCAGCGTCCCAAATAAGACATTCCAACCAGCAGCCCCTCCTCGAGCAGCTCAGCGGGCACCTCGATCGCTCATAATCCCCACTCGACCGGCTGCTGTTCACACTCATTGCCTCCAGTCCAGCCAGCTGTCACAGGGACAGCCAAGGGGACCACGGGCCTATGGGAAGCTGGATCATGATCTTCCTCAAGTGCCATTCCAGCCTGGACAGCGCCGGCCCACAAAGCCGCTTCTACTGCCCAAGGAGCGAGACGTTCTCGCAGACCCAGCTTTGCGGCTCGTGCGACCAAGCGGCCAAGGGAAAGCCCCAGAGGCCACTCCCCAAGCCTGGGAGACCCGCCCCTCTGCCCGAGGACCGGAGAGCACTTACTGGGATGCCCTGGAGCTGCGGCTTGTCAAGCAGGTTGTGAAGTTCGTTCTTCGAGGCCTCAATCTTCTCCTGGTCTGCAGCATCCACCATGTACCTGGCACGGGAAGGGAGTGTTAGCAGGAGCCTGGGCCGCTGGAAGTGCCTGTGATGCCCCATTACCAAGTGCTCTGGCCTCTTCAGAGCTGCTACCTCCCTGTCTCCACAGCTCCCAGGCCCGTGACCGGTCTGTCTCTGGAGCACCTGGATATTAGTCCCTGGTCCTCACTGTGTCACCAACCCACATCCCTCCCTGGACACCCCTGGGCTCTGACACCCTTCCGGAAAGCCCTGACGCGTCCTTGTGGGGCCAGGCCACAGGAACGAAAGCCCGTCATTAGCTCTCTCCCTGTCCAGAGCCAAGAGCTCTCCTGGGCACAGCAACTTCTCCGCAGCCGGCGCCGAACGCCACTAAGGGACCTCAGTCTCTGCTACACTTAATTAGATCATGCGAGCATTGGCGCCCGGGGCGGCGAAAAGTTTTGAGCACTGAGCACCGCGGATAAGTCGGCCTAATCCCTGTGTCCACGGGGCTAGCTAGCGGCTAGGGTAGCTGGAACATTCTTCCTTCCATCCGTCCGTCCAGCCAGCCCCTGCTGCACAGAAACCCCCCTTCCATCAAGGTAGGAAGGATCCTCGCTCCAGGGGCACAGCTGCAACCCAGACATCCCCGGGGTTTACCGTATGCAGCAGCCGCCACCACACCCGGCATCAGTGTTGCTGAAAAGCCAACAGGCATGGGAACTGTATGCTGTGTGTGGGGAGTCTTACAAGCATTTCTGCAGCACAGGTCACTGTACTGGCTGGGGGCACTTCCCCGTGCTTAGTGTTACCCAGAAAGGCAGCATACACCGTACTCCATAACGCCAGCCAGGGTGGATGCCAGAGAGCCTACCGCCAGGAGACAGAGGCCACGCCTGTACTTACCGCACTGGAGATCCATCTTCCGGCATTCGATTTAGCCGGTCTAGGCAAGACCTACTAAATCGAAGGCTGAGGGTAGCACCGGTATTCCTCACAGTCGTGAGGCGTAAGGGAAGCCAGCAGGAACGTTCGCTCCCGTCGACCTCCCGCTGTGAAGACGGCGCCAAGCTCGGCTTAAAGGAAGGGAAGCGGACTCCAGCTACGTATTTTGCGGAGCTGGAGTGGCGTACAGCGTAGACCCGGCCAGAGAAACGAGAGCTACCAAGTTCTAAATGTGGCCAGGCTGGGCCCAGCCATATCCCCAGAGGGAGAGCCTGCTACAGAGCTCACCCCATTGCCATGTATCTGGGACAACGGGACAAACTGGGAATAGAGTGCAGGAGCGAGGGCTGAGTGGCCTTCAATGGGAATTCCAGACAGCGCCTCTTGCACCGAGCCCACCTAAGGGTAGCAAGGAGCTGCCGCCAGGTGGAAGGCCTAGCAGAGGGGGAATGGCATAGCGCCAGGCAGGCCGAGGCCACTGGAGAGCCGTGTCCGGTTCGATCTGGAGACTGCCAGCCAAACAACTAACAAGACACGCTCAGTGGATGCAGATACGTGTCCTCAGACCCCGAGTTGCTTTGCAGTCAGGGTCAACGCTGCCTTCTCGGGACTCAGTTTCAATCAGCTAAGCTGTGGCTTTCTCCCAGGCCCCAGGCACGGGCACACAGCGGAGGAACAAGGCATCTCTTCTGTCTGATGAAAGGAGATGGAGCTGAATGTCATCAGCACACTTCAGACACCACAGCTCATGCCAAACTTCTCCAAGCATCTGCCCACTGAGGATCTCGAACCTGGGGAGATCAGGGGACTGGAGACGGGCGTATACTTGCTGGCCTAGCAGTCAGTGAATTGATTTCCCCTCTTTCCGTTTACGTGGACGGAGGTTCTCCGCTGTGTGTGTTACCGCCTGGGAGGAACTCGTGTCTGTAGCGTGCTGGTGTACAGTTCGCATGCATCTGTGCTGAGATGATTGGGTGCCTGCACCGCATTTTTAGAGTACTACCTTCGTGAGTCAGACCCTGCTGCGTCTCCGAGGCCGGACACGCAGGAATCAGAGGCGCCTCTGGCACAACGGAGATGATGGAAAGTCTCTGTCCCTGCCTGGACGAACCGTCTGGGCAGTTCCCACCAGGCAGCCCGCGCCCCAGGAACACAACGGAGGCGCAGACTCCAGCCAAGGGAACTCGCACAACTAAGGCTGCTGCGTCTCGTCAATACAGGGTTTGCCTGGGTGCGTCACAGGCCTTGGAAGGAAGAGCAGCTGCCTACGGCCGGCCCTGAAGGCTATTGGGCCCCCCTCCAACGAGCGAATAGCCCCCCACCAGCAGGGGACAGAGGCAGCAGCAAAGGCAACAGCTCCTCAGCCAGGAGCACCAGAGCCTGTGGTGGCCAGAAGAGGCCTGTTATTTGGGGCAACATGGAGCCCAGCAGTAGCCTGCTACCTAGGGCCCCAGGCTGTGGTGGGTGGGGGTGACTGGGGAGTCACCCGGAGACTGGGATCCCTGCACTGAGCAGAGACATTCACAGGACTCCAGAAGGAGCCCCAGGGACCACCAGACACCAGGCACCCAAAGCCCAGCTGGACTCCGGCTGTCCTGAGCAAGCCGCTGGGGAGTGTAGCTCAGGGCCAGGCTCCCGGCTCCCAGCCAAGGACCCCCAGGATTAGCATGTTGCTCAATCTGTCCTCTCGGGGACCCAGCCCCACAGATCCTGCCAGCCCCCAGCCAGGAGGCCGCCAGAGAGCACAGCCTCTCGTGCGTTCCCAGGCTGTGCTACCGGAGCGCCGGTGCTCGGCCGCCCTGGAACGCCTGCGCTGGAGCACACAGCTGGGGGTACTTACACTATGGCGCTGACTCCGCGGCAGTAGCGCTCCCACATGCTGCGGAAACGAGGCTGGCCGCCGATGTCCCAGAGCTGGGGGGAAGAGAGGCAGAGTCAGATCTCCCAGCCAGCCACCTGGCTCCTGTCTCTCCTGCATTGTCCCCACACGCCCAGCCTGACAGACTGCCTGCCTTACAAAAGCCTACGCTGCAGCCCCCCAGCCAAGCAGAAAACCCAACATTCCCACCGCGCCACCCTGATCTCCGGAGCAACCAGCGACCCTCCCTTCTTCTGGCCACAGATTTAGGACTCACACTGACAGGCAGGCGCTATGAGCTGTGCCTTTACCCCATGCTTAGCTATAGGGCTTCCAGACCCTGGACAGACACGGGATGGGAAGGACTGATCGACTATCCGATAAGCAAATGCTTGCCAGAGGATGCGGTGAAGGCTACAACTTTAACAGGGTTCAAACAGGAACTAGATAGATTCGTGGCGTTTAGGTCCATCCTGTCTATTAGCAGGGCTCGACGATTGCCGGCGCCGCACTGCTCATGAGCCCATAGGCGAGTAGATTGCATTATTTGTCGAGCCCTGGCTATTAGCCCCAGCCTGTTTGTCTGGAAATGGGCGACAGAGGAGAGATCACGGGATGATTCCCTGTTGTGTTCCCTCCCTCTGGGGCACCTGCCACTGGCCGCTGTCGGCAGACAGGACGCTGGGCTGGATGGACCGTTGGTCTGACCCAGTCTGGCTGCTCTCGTGGTCTTATACTTGTGACTCGTCGCTCCCCCGCTGCCCCTGTCCCCGCGGGGCGGGGAGAGAGGAAAGGAGGGGGGACTTCAAAGTGGAAGCACCACGTAGAGCCCGGGGCCAGACCTGGCCTAGGCTTATTGGCTAATCGACTAGCTGACTACTCGTTCACATCCCTCATTTGCACCCCAAGAACCTGCTGCACAAGAGCTTGCAAATCTCTACATCGTCACTGCCCCATCTCCTGGAGCTGCTGCAGCCGTACCTTTATGGTGACGTTCCCCTTGGTGATCTTCCTCATGTTGAAGCCCACCGTCGGGATCATGTCTTCGTTGAACTGCCCCGACTGCAAGGAACAAACACACCGGGTCAGCCTGCACACCCTCAGCCCAGCACGGAGCCTCTGGGCTTGCCAGGATGAAACTGGACAGACAGAGGCGGAACGAGACGTAACAGGAGCCGGTCGCAAATCCTAGCTGGGGGAGAACCTTGGGAGGACATCAAGTCTAGCCCCGTGGACTTGCAAACCTCACCCAGTTCCCAACCTGTTCTTAAAATCCTCCAGTGACTAGGATTCCACAATCTCCCTTGGACGCCTGGTCCAGAGCTCAGCTCCCCTTAAAACCACAAGTTTTCTCTTCTGTCGAACCTCAATCCCCCTGGCTGCAGGCAATGTATTACTACTTGTCCTACCTTCAAGGAACAATCCATCACAGTCCACTTTGTAACAGCCCGTTGCATATTTGTAAACCAGTCCTCCTTCAATTTTGCTTCTCTCAAGATTAAATACGCCTTTTTTTTAACCTTTCCTCCCAAGACAGGGTTTCTAAAGCCTTTAGTATTTTTCTGTCGTCTCTAGACTCTCTCCAATTTGTCCACATCTTTCCTAAAGCACCCCCCAACCCCCCCACAATTGGACACAGTGCTCCAGCACAGTGAGCTATTAACTCTGAAGTCTAGGGAAGACTATTCAAACACAACCACCATTAGGCTGTTTTACTACAGAAAGGAGAAGTGCAGATCTTTATAATCTGATCTACAGTGAATGACGACTGATTTTGGTAAGAGGGGGAAGCGTTGGGAGTATGCCCTCATCGATTTTCTCCAATCTAACTCCTGGCTTTGAGACTCCACCTGGGTTGAAAGTGTCTACAAAAATTTGAGATCTTCCTATCACTGAATCATGCCTGCTTGTTATGTTTCTAGCAAAACAGAGAATCAGACATTTCTGGCTTATGTTGTGCTGAGCTAACTCATCACAGGGAGTTGCAGGGTGAATTAAAAAAATATTTATTTAAAAAAAGCTAGTAGATTTACTTTTGAAAAAAAAATTGAAACAACTATAAGCTCAGTCCGAAACTTATTACAATGTACTCAAATACTTTAAATTAAATAAAAAACATCATGCCAGCAGTGTTTGCTGCTTTAGTTTTAAAGGAAGTCAAACCACTCAATTAGTGACAGTCCCTGGGTAAGTCTCTGAAACCAAAATTTGCTGATGTGCTAAATGCGCTTTAGACAGCAGCGACCTCTTCTGCAGACACAGAGGCAATATATTCTTCATTTCTCTTTATTCAGCTAGTTCAGTCTAATGGCAGGTTGGCTCAATGTTAAGAAACCAGATAAGAGCTGAAAGCAGGAAAGAGTTTCTGATCTAAGAATAAAATGAGGTGTGAGAGGATGAGCTCTACTAGTTCTAAGGTGGAAAGATGCAATGACCAGAAATTACCAGTTCCGTTCACTAATACTTAGTTTAACAAATCAGTCATTTTAAATACAAAACATGTTTTGATAAATGTTTTTAATTCAGACAGCACATTTAGGGTAGCTTTACTGAACTAATGAAAACAATTTAGTCTTCTGCATTTTCAATTGAACTCTAATTTCCATCCAAGTAGTGCTCGATGCAAACCATGAATACATATTTAAGCATCTACTAAATAATAAATGCACTATCCACTAATTTCCAACATAAAAATGTAAAAATTAAGACTATGAATAAATATATGCTAAGCTGAGCAATTCACTCAGCCTATGTCTACACTACAGTTGTTTCAGAAAAACAACCATTTTTCCGAAAAAACTTCACTTACAACCACACTGCAATCGTGGACTTTCGAAAAAAAATCGTAAGAACGGAGGGGTTTTCCAACATTGGTAAACCTCTTTCTACAAGGAAGAAGCCTTTTTGCGAAAGAGCTCTTTTGGAAAAAGATGTGTGTGGACAGGGAAGAGGGAGTTCTTTCGAAAGAAGAGGAAAAAGCACAGGTGCCATGGTAGCCATCCCGTTCACAGTAATCACAGCTGAAATGCGAGATCGCGTCCAATCAATGTGGACTCTATCTTTTGAAAAAACAGATCACTTTTTCGTTGTACTTTTGATGTGGAGACGCTCTCTTTTGAAAAACGTTTTTCTGGAAGATCTCTTCTGGAAAAGCTTTTTCCAAAAGAAGCCTACAGTCTTTCAACAGATAGAGCATATCACCTGGTTAGCAAAAAGAAGCACCAAACTTAATGTAAAGGCGCCACTTAATTCCCAATTGACATGTTTTAGTGGCTGTTTTCCTAAAGAATAGACAATTCTTTAGGAAAACAATGTAAAAAGATTAAAATGCACAGTTTAAAGTCCAGGGTTCCTGTTTGCTGACTAAATGGGTGAATTAAGCTGCTACACCCTGAAGGAGATAGCCCTGCAACTCAAATTAGCTGCCTTGAAAACTCCCATGAAGTCACTCCCCTCCCAAACAAAGGCCATTAATAAGCCTGGCATCAGTGTTACTTTTGTTGGCCACCACCAAGTGCGTAAGATGGGCTGCAAGCTGCCCTAAGGGGTGGAGACTACAAAAGTAAGGCTTTCTTTGTCTCTCCCAGGGCACTTGTCTCCATCAGAAGGCAGATACATCATCACCAACCCTCCCCGAGCCACTCGCTTGTACACAGCGCTCACAGGGAGCACGGTCTGATTTCTCCCCCCACTAACCTTCTCAGTCCATCTCTTCTGACCCAGTGCAGCTTGTCAGCATTCTAGGGAAGATCTGCTCTAGCCACTGGGACTGTCCAGACAGACCAACGGGTTTAAGCCAAGTTACCCGGATGAGCCTAGGAAGCTCTCACGCCAATCCCCGGAGAACCAGTGCAGGGCTTGGAAAGGTCTCCCTGCCAGCCAGAGAGATATGTGAAGCGTAAGTGTGACTGACCCATCGGGGGCAGCGTCAGGGGGTACAGATCCTCCCCCCCCCATCTTTGCCGCTTCCCTTCTAGCCTCCAGCATGGCTGGGGACTCCATCTTTCATATCAGCGGGTGTCCTGATCAATTGGAACTTCTGGCCCATTTAGCTATTGGAAGCAGCTGTCTCTTCCGCTCCCGCTAAAGCTTCCTGGCTGCTGTGAGGAAGGGACGGGGCTGCTACGCCCCCAACTCTGACCTGCTGCAAGGAGTGGAGAGAAGGGACAAGTTATTCTCTTCTGCCCCCAGCTCCCTCCCCTTTTAGATTCTACTTCCCCTTGAGTAACTCCCATCCTAGCCTGACTCAGCCTAGAGTTCATGCCACAGCACGAAATTGACATGGATTTCTGGCAGCACCAATGTTGTCCCTAGATCCTGAACAGTCGCACTGAAATGGACTGTTCTTGTCACAGCTACAAGGAGCAAGCAGCATAGTCCCCTCTGCAGCCTTCTCTTGACAGACTCAAAGACATCACCGATTCTAAGGCCCTGCAGCCTCCCCCTCTGAGCTCCTGCAGAACACAGGCCCCTCGACACTCCCGGATTCACGGCTATCTTCTAGAACAGCCCAGCTCCATTTCAACCCCTTGCAAATCCTGATAATTGGTCCAATGATTAGTTACCCTCAGTGGTAAAAATCTACCCTCCCTGCTAAAAAACGTATCACCAGTCTGAATGTGTCTAGATTTATGGCTCTAGGCCACCGTTGGCAGCAGGGATGTAAGACACATACCGACTGGTGATGCTGCTTTGCTGCTTCTCTGACAGGCACAAGGGCAGGGCTTCCACTTTTGAACTGTAGCCCGGTAGGGCTCTTGTTACAGAAATCCCACCAGTTAGTTGATTAGTTAATTAATCTCAATTTAACATCCCTAGTCAGAAGGTTTCCTGGGCCTAGATTTTTTTTATTTAAATGAAAACTTACATTCCACTGAAATTTACGACTGCGGCCCCGCCCACTTACAAAGTATCTACACGCCCCCGTGACAAATGGGTTTTCCAGTCCAGGGCACAGTGGGTAAGAAATGACCAGCCCAGCAGAGCGGCATGGAGAGCGTATGGCAGGGAGGGATCCATACCATTAGTACTCCCTGGCCCAGCTGAGCTCTGGCTGGCGGCAGACAGCACTGTAGCCAGACAGGAATCCCCCCGTAACATCCAGCTGGCAGACAGCACTGTAGCCAGACAGAAACCCCCCCTGTAACATCCAGCTTGCTTGCCTGGAGCATACAGGGCACACAGAGCAGTAAAAGCAGCACAGTCTTTGAAGCCTTGACAGGAGGCCCGGATATGCTAGCTCACAGTGACTCTGGACAACTGTAAGCAGAGATATGAGGGTGATCGAGCTAATCGCTGACCAAGAGGCTGCCGAGGAGAGCCCTTGACTGAAACCCATATTGATACGATCACACACACTCATCGCGGGGGGAGGAATTGCCCAGTACTCCCAATTTAGTCCTCTCTCTTACAAGTGTAAATTAAATTCACAACTCCCTTGTAAGAACTGGCATCACAAAGACGGACCAACACAATTTGGCATCTTAGATAAGAAAGAGGATACGGGCCCCTATGGCTATAAAGATGGGCCCAGCAGCACACTTATTCTGAGCATCAATCTACCATCTATCTGCTGGTTGGGTTAGGTGATTGGCCTCCCGAGGGTCCACGGGGACACCCACTTCGTATTCGTCTTTCCTAGGAATTAAGGGACCAGCCCTGGCCTGATACGGTGGAATCGAGAGGCACAGAAGGGGGTAAAAATTGTATGTGGATGTGTCCTTTGTCTTAAGTGTACACATCTTTGTAACCATTTTTAAGATCTAGATTTGCTAGCAGTTAAGAAATAGAGCAATAGCCATTGTAACCATATGATTTATAAGGTTCTTTAATAAACCTGTAACTGGTTAAGCTTTAACCTGACTCCTTCAGTTGCTGTCACAGAACCAAGCACTATTTAAAAGAACTCTAGCCGGTCATAGGGCAGACACAGTGAGGGAGAGCTGCGCGTTTGGGTCCTGTTGCCTCCACGGGATAGACTCCTTGGGGCATCTGTCAGCTTTCTCTGGGCTGCCCTCTGCGAAGGGCTCTCGATCCTAGCAGTTGAAGACTTGGGTGTATAACACACGCACGCACACACACACATACCACGCACTGCCCTGACCACTGGCTGACAAGCACCCACCTTTCCCTTGATAGAATGCGGATGTTAGGCCAAGACTGAAAAGCAGCCACGGAGCCTGGATGCCAAGGCGAGGGGCTCGTCAGCCAAAACGCCAGGTGACTATGGGAACTGCAGGCACTGGACACCCCTGACAGTCAGTTCTGGCTGATCTTAAGTTGGGCCCCTGAAACTGAGCAAGCCAAAGCAGGGAGAAGGGTTAGAGCATTTGCTCTGACTGGTTTTTTGGACTGCGGGGTGGATGGGGCCTTTGGCGCTACACCAGAGACCTGTGGATTCTTTATTTCCATTACATTAGGGACCTTG